TAAGCTGTAGATTGAGGCTTTGTCCTTATTTGTTGTACAGGCGACTTGTAGAGCTGATATTTGAAAAAATGATCAGTTCAACTATCTTTTGGACTTTTAGGTGAGTTTTCCTCACTGTACTTGTCAATCGAAGGCACCAATGTCAACCCACTAGGTTGTTGTAACACCCTGAATTTAGAAGGCCGAAAAAGAGAAGAAAACCTCAAATGAGGAAGTGAGTCGTTGAGTAGATGGGTGACTCGACGAGTAGGAGCGCAATTTGGTCGCAGGTTTAGTGACCTACTCGACGAGTTAAAAGACTGACTCGATGAGTTGGCTAGGTTTGGGGAAAACCCTAAATGTGGGCCTTACACCCTATTTAAGAAGCATTATAGCCGTCATCAGCCCCCTGATACTCTCTTAAGTCCATAATGAAAACCTTAGAGCCTCCCTTGAGTTGTGAGTCATTTTGAGAGTTTTGGAGCATTCTTGAAGCTTGGAGGAATAAGAAGAAGGTTGGAGGTTCAAGGAGAAAGGAGTAGATCCAGAAGATTCACTCTATTTGCTGCTCATTTTGGTAATCAAGTTCCTTCCTTGACTTCTAGTTTGTTTATTCTCCTTATGTCCCTTTTTATGGAGTTTATGGTCCAAGAAGGATGTCTTGTGGGATTTGGACGTCCCCAAGATAGATCCTTCTAGATTTAGAGGTGTTCAGAGTAATAAAGACATAAAGGTGGGAGCTTTATGACATTATACCTCTCCATGCATATATTAAGTGGTTATTATGGCCTTTTGAGCAAAAAGGGCCATGTATGGGTGCAAGGTAGCAACTTTGTGTGATATCTCGGCCCTAGGAGGCCAGATCTGGGTCTTGAAGGCCTTGAGCTTGTCTGAATACGTCTGAATAATGTTGGACATAGAGAGACTCGACGAGTCAGTTGTGGGACTTGGTGAGTCAAGCCAGTTCTTGCCCCAAAACCCTTTTGTTAAGGGTATGAGTTGAGTTTGGAAAGGGACTCAGTCGGCCCAAGTCCATGATGGTCATGAAGTTCATCGTACTCAACGAGTTCAAGGAAGAACTCGACGAGTCTAAGGAAATCTCCTTAATTTATGGAGATGGACTCGACGAGTTTTTCATACAACTCGGCGAGTCACAGACTAGACACATTCATATGGATGATGAACTCGACGAGTTCAAGGATGAACTTGACTAGTCGATTGAAGATGGTCCTGATAGTATGATTGAAGGAGGACCTGTCGATTTCTTGCTAGACTCGAGGGATGTGTTGGGTTGTAGGGGTATGGACTCGACGAGTTGGTAGAATAACTTGGTGAGTCAAGTCAACTGGAGGTTGACTTTGACCAAGTTTGACCAGGGTGGACTTTTGGATTATTATGGTCTAAATGTTGTTTGGGTATTAATAGTTCGGGAAGCCAAAGAGTAAGCAGTTCAGAAGTGCCGGTTAGCAGTCAGAAGTGTTCAACGAATCTTCAGCAGTGCGAGGTGAGTCTCCTCACTATGTGCATGGGTCTACAGCCACAATGCTGACCCATTATGTTCATGTTTATGTTTATGCTTATATATAGAAGGAAGACCCGGGGGTTAGCCCTAGGCACTTATTGATATATGGTCCAGGTTACGACCTGATGTCGGGCGAGGCCCGAGGAATGTTAGGATGCTAGAGGTCTTTGTGATTCTTGCATGTTACGGTATGATAGGATCTGGACCGAGGGTCGGATGTTGGGGTAAGCCTGAGGTACGTTAGATAATAGTATGTTTCCGGGCCGGGGGTCCAATGTCGGGGTATTCCCGAGGAAGATTCTTATGTAGTGCGTTAGATTATACTTGTTGTCTTCGTGATACTTGTATGTGCCTGGTAGGGAGGTGAGTGTGGGCGAGGTCCCGCATCTCATCACTAGCTGAGTATGGATGGGGTTCCATATCTCGATATTAGTAGAACAAAAGCGAGGTCCGTGGTAGGAAGGATATGAGTGTAGGAAGGGGTCCGTATCTCACTACTATTAGGAGTGTGGATGGGGTTCCACTACTTTAGTAGCAGACTAGGGGCGGGGCCTAAGTTAGGCGAGGCCTTAGATCAGGGTATGGTTAGGGAATGTTTATGTATGTTTCATTATGTTATTTGATCGTATGTATGTGTATCACGGGCTAGGCCTAAAGACAAGTGGGGCCTAAGGGAAACATATATGCATACCGAGCGGGGCTCGATGCCAGGTAGGACCTGATGCCAGGCGGGCCCGATGACAGACGGGGTCCGATGGCGGGCGAGGCCCAGTATGTGATTATGTGCTCACGGTTGTATATGACATGTTTGGATCACTAGATATGTATGGTATGTGGTAGGTTGGGGAACTCACTAAGCTTCGTGCTTACGGTTTTCAGTTTTGGTTTCAGGTACTTCCGGCAGTGGAGGGAAGAGCTCGGGATGATCGCATGACACACACCAAGAAGTTTAGCTTGGGATCCTTACTCAGGAGTAATCCAGACATAAGTTGATGGCCGAAATGGCAATCCAGACTTATGCTGTAGGCTCGGGAGCAATCCAGATGTAAGTTGAGGGTCAGGAAGGCAATTCAAACTTATGTTATGGGCTTTGGGGTAATCCGGTCCGATGATTATGGAACCAACATGCATGTTTGTATATGTTCTGCTGCATGGGGTATTTTGGGGGAACTCACTAAGCTTTGGCTTACAGTTTGATTTTATGGTTTTAGGTATATCAGATGATTGGGTCAAGACGAAGGCTTAATTGTACATATCATCCTGAGATTTATGTTGAGAGATGTTTTTAGGCACTCTGATTTGATAACTATGTTTTTGGAAACAATCTTTTGTATGACTTATGGATTATAAAATGGTTTTGAAAAATTAAAACTTCTAGTATGATTTTTTTGGACGCTACAGTTAGAGAGAGGGGTCACTTACTGCGAAATTTTCCACCAAGAAAATACTTTAATTAATGACATAGTTGTCTATAATTAAATAGATAACTATCTAGTAATAGTTAAATATTCCTAATTAAAAATTAAGTCTTTTTTTTCTAATTACACCATTAATAAACTATCCATTTATATATTATTCTCGCTTTTAGATTGTACTTTATGTGCAACCTAATAGACCTATATACTTATTAGTAGTTTCGTAAACTTGTTATATCAGTGGAAATATCTCCAACAATGATACATCATATATCAAGATAATAAGTAACTGATTCCTGAAAGTCAAATAAATGGTTATTTTAGTGTGTTGGATTAAATTCAAGTGTATTGTAACCATATTTAGGAGTACTTGGTGATCTAAGAAGCTTATGATGACAAATTAAGATAATTCTTAGTTAAGGACCAAGGGGAGTACATAATATTGAACATATATATCCCCATAAGATGCATTGTGATGAGATATATTTTGTATTGCTTGTTAATATATGTGTTTATCTGTGTATTTTACTCGCAATGAGTCTTTTAAAATGTTTAATCATTTCTAAGAGACATGTGATGTTGTATAAATCATGATCTTGTTGCATTCATTAATAGGGAGATATATGTGAAAACCCTAGTACAATATGGACACTTTATGTTGTATATATGTGGTGGTTTATATCCTTCCTTAATTTTCATAAAAAACGGATATGATCAAGGTTGTTAAAATTGAGATATTGTTTGTAGGATTGTAAGATCATGCGATCATACCTATAAAACATTGTCAGATTGCAATATGATCGTTTTGTATGTAAGATCACAAACATGATTGTATGATCGGGATCTGATCTGATCCGATCCTACCAATCCATGAAAATTTCCAAATTTTAATCAAAATTTTATTATCTTTACCCCTATTTTGTTTGACCTAGTTTCCTTACCCAAAGGTAAGTTGATAATAACTCTATTCTTGTACTATTTTATGAATTGTAAATGACTAACAAGTCTATAATTCTTTTTCTTCTTTTATGTTTACGCTCATCGATGGTAGAATTTGAGATTTAGCTTCAGATTGTTATTAATTTCTCCCTTCAATAGTTCAAGCTCAACAATAGATTTGAGTTTGCTCAAGTTCTTTTCACCAAGAGCTTGAAACTTATGGTTTTTAATTGAACTTCAAAAGTTTAAATTGTTATTGGTTTCTTTCTTATAATAAAAGTACATAATATGTTAAATATTTAAAGTGACTAATATGAAGGTTGTAAATTGCTATTATTGTATGATAAATTATCAATCTTAATACTTATTTTAGTTTTTTAACCATGTCATTAACTACTACATGACCAGTTACCATGTTGAGCTATTTAACTTTGAAATACGAAAAAAAAAGTTTTATAAACAATCAATAACCTTTTATATCACTTTTTGTGAGATTTCAAGACTATGAACTCGATTTTGGAAATTTGAAAATGATCATACGTAGAATCCCGATCTTAAAACTTTGGATAAGACGGACAATTTCTTAGAAAACTACAAAGTACAAAGCTGGTTACCTTTCCATAATTATCCTCAAAATGATAAATATGCTAAACGATAAGAACCAAACACCTAATTTTGTTTGAAACCAAAAATATAAAACATACAAATGCAAAATTAGAGTATATACATAGACTATGTTGAAAAAGGAAATCTCCACTCCACTTTCAACTATTCCCATAAAGATTTCTCCATACATTCTCTGCAAAAAGACACTCATTCCTACCTACAGTAACCCTTCTTTTTTCTTTAACGAAGCTAAATACAAACTGTCGTTTTCCCTTTAAATAAATCACACAATTTTTTATACCAAATATTTTTTATATCCTGATGATTTTTATATGAAACATCCACTGATCCACTATGTGTTTTCTAAATTCTAATTCTACTTGCTTTTTTCATCTTGAAAAACACAATACAATCTGTCTTCTATAAATGTTTTTCAAACTTCACATGATCTATCAAAAATAATGAGAGATATCAATCTGATCAATTGTTATCTAATATTATTATTCTATTTTTGTCGTGAAGAATTGCTGATCGAATTTAATATTTCATTCTAATCTTTTTTTTCAACGACAAGAAGAAAGTTTGTTGGAAAATCTTGGGGCACTTATATCAATCAGATCCAGAAATTTTGTACAAATAAGTGCAAAATCAGTTTTTCAAATTGGGTAAAAGTTGATAGTTTCTGTAATTACTTTGATTAAATTCAAGTAGAATCTAATCAACTTGTTCTTCATCGGAATTCTAATTCAAAAAAAAATCGTAGAAGATATTTTGAAACAAAAAATCAGTATTCAATACTACTACTCTGTTATTGTTATTGTAATGATTTCTGGAAATTATCTCTACATTTTCCAAAAATAATATCAAAATTTATTCAGGAATTGTCACCAGAACAGGCCTCCATGCTCGTCTAAGTAACCGCTGCCGTAACGTCCCCGGCAAATGCCTAAATCTTCTTGACCCACTGCGCCGGCCAATCAGATCGCCTTCACCACTCCACCGATTCGTCTCTTCACCACCTTCACGTCCACCGTCATCCAGCGGCGGAGACACCGAAGACGACACAAACAAGTCCTTTAACTTTCGTCTTGAACCGTTATCCTTCCCATCCTCCGGCGAAGAATCAACATCGCTTCCTCTCCGATCTACAAACTCATCAGGTGGCGGCAACCGCCGGGTGGTTTCGCCGCCGCCGCGACTGAGTAACATCCGTAGCGTCTTCCGTCGGCGTAGGTGAATGACAGGGCTTGAGGAAGGACTCCGCGTAGGACTTCCGGCAACCGCGCATTGTGTCGCTAACATCTTGAATTTCTGCAGCGTCGCCATTGATTCCGATCTAACAAAAGGTCATGTAAATCAAATTGTTTCTAGAAATCGTGATATGACAAGAAATGGATCAATCATGAAAGAAAAACCTAGATCCGAGATGCTTATCGTGTGATCTAGCCATAGAGAGTATAGATTCTTTGTTTTTTCTACACACTAGAGAGAGAGAAAGAGAGAGGTTAAAGAAGTGAAGGAAAGCAACAGTTAACGCCGGCAAGGTTAAAGTGACAGGTGATAATACGGGAGGATTTGTAGGATGGAATAGAGGTGGGCCCATGCCACGTGGACGATAACAGGTAGTTCCGAAACGGTCTTTCCCCTGGGTCACGCCGTAGGGGATACTTCTACTACATGTACTTTTTACTTCTTTCTTTACAAAATAACAATTTTTTCATAACAACTTTAGAGTATACTTATTGTTTTCTAGCTATATATATATATATATATATATATATATATATATATATACACATGTATTATTTTATTCAAAAATTTATTTTAGAATGTGCATGAATCTAGTTTAGTCTTGTCTGGTATTTTATATTCTTTTAAATTGTTAACCAAATACACTACAAAAATTAAATACTTTATTGTTTATAAACATTATTGTTGGATAGTCAAAAGGTGTCTATACCCCTTAAAGGTAGTGGATTCAAAGCGATCGTAGCTCATATGTGTCATTCTCTTAGTTGTTTCTTTCAACCTAAGCGTCTATTGGTTGCGACTTAAAGTTTTAGAATGGAGGTTTGAGGTTTGAAATCGAGAAATACTTCTTTAACGGTTAGTGTTTCATAGTTTACATATGATTTTATTACCTAGAGCTGGCTGCAACATGAAATTGTTAATCACACAATTTATATTTATTATAAAAAATGGTGTTTTCAACTATTTAAATCATAAATTATAACACATACATGGATGTTGGGGGTTACTAGGTATAGTGATGGTTGTATGTTGCTTGAGTTTTCAAAACAGGGGAATTGCACCCAAATTGACTTCATCTTGGTGCGTAAATGAGATCATGTGACATACATAGGTTAAAAGATGTTAACAAGAGAGGTATGCACACATCGCAAAATACATTGAAAAGTAGACAAACTCGAAATTATACTGACATGTACATAAAAACAAGTAAGTTAAAGAATTAACGAAAGAAAGTTCTAAAATCACAGTGATACATTGAACACCTTGAATTTATACCAATACACACACACACACACACACACACACATATATATATATATATATATATATATATATATATATATATATATATATAAGAATGTAAAAAAATAGTTTTTTTAGGTTAACGAACGGAAGTTATTTTGGAAAATCAAATTATGTATAATACGGGGGATAATCATGAAAGTTTAAAAAATAAAAGGGTGAAAATAATATTTTACAAATTTTAAAGTGAATGATGAAAATGAAATTTTAATAAGTAAAATGTTGGAAAAGCCATAAACTCTTAAACTTAGAATATAGAAAAAAAAATTATATAAATTGTCTCTCTAGTTTAACCATTATTCATAAACTCTGGTAACTAAAAAGACCAAATTACCCTCACAGTAACGGACTAAAACTAACGATATTAGTAAAAAGGATCATTTTTGCAAGTTTTGGAAACCACGGAGACCATGTTCATAAAAAAATTTAACAATGATTGAGTTTGTGACATTTGATAAACCATATAGACCACTTATGTAATTTTATATAACTTTTATATAAATAAAACTGAAACATAAGATGAGAAATTGAAGTTATAAATTATTTTGTGGGAAGATAAATTTGATGTAACAATACTTAGTTACATCTAAACAACATTAAAGGTTTGGACTAGCACAAATGGTTTGGAAAATAAAATAATTGAATTCAATTTGTAAAGATATTGTTATACTAGTATGAAAATGCATATGAAATAATGAAGACAAAACTGCACAAATGGTCCCTTTGGTATATCGAAAATTGTAACTTTGGTCGAAAAAGGTTTGGACTAGAACAAATGGTCAAAAAGTTTGATTTTGTTGCCACTTTGGTCCAATTTGCTTTGCATTTTTTTTATAATGACCATTTTGCCTTTTGCAAAAAAAAAAAAAAAAAAAAAAAAAAAAGTCGAAACTGCACAAACAGTCCCTGTGGTTTGCTCAAAATTGCCACTTTGGTCCAAAAAAGTTTGACTAGCACTACAGGTCCAAAGTTTTCATTTCGTTGCGAGTTTAGTCCAAAGCACTTTAAAATTTCTTCAAATGACAGATTTGCCCCTTTCTATTTGTTTTTTCCTTTTCTTTTTTCCTTTACTATTTTTATTATTTAATTACAAAGGGTCATCTCTCTCTCTCTCTCTCTCTCTCTCTCTCTCTCTCCAATCGTTCAAGAACATATAAAATAAAAAATACACTCCCCTTCCCCTTGTTCTTCCTCCTTGCAACCCAAACCCACCAACAACCTTCCTTTGTCTTTCTCCAATGACTATCGTCTTCCAAAAGCGATTTTTTGTGTTCAAAATATCTGTTGTGAATCATTTTTTATGAGAAATCAATTTCTGGGTTTCATCTTCTCCAACCAATTTCTAGGTTTCATCTTATGGGTTTCAACTTCTCAATTTTTGGGTTTCATCTTCCATTATCGACTAGATAAAGATCCTTCGTTGTCAAAGGTGCTGGCGAAGGCGACATCGTTGAAGAGAAAGATGTCGCTTTTTAGAGCCTTCATCGGATTAACTAGTCAGTACAGTAACGGTAGTCCTAGAAAAGTCGAAGAAAGCTAGATATGAAGATCAAGGTCGTCGGAGCCACAATGAACCCTAACTTCGATTAGGGTTTCGTCAACGCTGTTATGAAGATCCAGTTAGGGTTTTGCCTCCACTTTATATCTATCTATCTCACCGTTAATCTGGAATCCCTCACCAAAGTTTCTATGAAGATCCACTACAAAAGCGCTCCCTGCTATGAAGATCCACAACAAACCCTAGCTCTGATTCCTTCCACTTGTTATCATCGGAAACGTCTTTTTCTCCATCGTCATCTTTCTTCCATTCGAAACTAGAAGCTGCAAATTGATTTGGTGATGGAGTAGACAACTTCAACGGACATGATAATGGTTCAAACTGTAGCACGAGCAAGAGGAGATAGAAGTAAATGAATTATGTTCTTGAAGTACCAATTTTCATATGTTTTATAAAACTTCTTCTGGTTATAAAGGTTTGGAAATTATGGATTTTTGAGGTTATAAGCTTCATATTGTTTGTGTTTGTAGTGGTATTAATTCATGGAAGTTTGGTATAAATAGAGAGAGAGAGGTAATTTCTTTTTTATTTTTCTTTTAATTAGAAAAGTTTTTAAATAAATAAAAATACTAAAAAAGAAAAAAAAAATAAGGGTAAAATCGTCATTATAAAAAAATTAAATGCAAATGGGATCAAACTCGCAACAAAATGAAAACTTTGGACTAAAGTGACAATTTTGAGTAAACCACAAGGACCATTTGTGCAGCTTAGTCAAAAAAATTATATACTCTTTTTTCAATTTTTTATTATAGAGATAAAATAAATAGGCAAAAGAAAAACACCCTTCACACACACATACTCTCTCTCTCTCTCTCTTTCTCTCTCTCTCTCTCTTAATACATTTCCCTTTCACAATAAGACAATATCATCTCGCTAGAGCTACCATGCTCTTGCCGGGAAATCAAATCGTACAATGCCATTCACACGTCTACCTTCATCTTCCGTTTTAGTTTTCATAAAGCGAACCCTAACTCCGGTTAATTATTTATAGATCTTTGGTTCCTCAGAGATAACCAATGTCGGCACCGGATCTACACCATATATGCAAACCGTCGACATCGAGAATGGAGATGAGTAAAAAGAAATGGGAATGGAGCAGTTTTGTACCACCACATCTCCATTAAACCCTAACCTTAATGCCTCCACCACCATTTGGAAACCCTAACCCTAGCGTCGTCAAACCATAAACGACTGATTGGAGAGGCGAATCTAGGGTTTCTGTAACTCCTAGATCGTTGTCTCCATCAACGAAGGATAGAGACGAAGAGGGAAGAAGGTGAAGCTAAGGTTTCTGAAAATGCAAAGTATTGAGCTAGGGTTCTTTATATGCAACGACAGTGGCGAAGTTGGCAATTGTCGATATGTGTTGAATAGATCTTTATCCCAAGTCATCGCTCTCTATCTTGTCCCATATCTCTCTCCCCCCTCTATCCCTCTTTCTCTCTCTATCTGATGGATTCATTTACATTCTTCCTTTTCTTTCTAAATCCAACTCGTCGTTGCTTGAAAAAAGATGTTGGTTGTGGTGTAGAACTGCTGGTGATGGCAGTGGTTTTCAATAGGTGGTGGTTGTTGTTCATACTTTTCTGGCAGTTGATGGTGGTTATGTTATATTCCTTTTTATGAAAAATCAGAGAAGCTGAGAGAAAGAGAGAGAGAGAGAGAGAGAGAGAGAGAGAGGAGAGAGAGAGAGACATAGAGAGAGAGAGAGAGATGGGAAGAGGAAATACATTGAAATTTTATTTTTCATTTTTATTTTAATATATTTAAATAAATAAATAAATAAGAAAAAAATAAAATAAGGGCAAAATCATCATTATAAAAAAGTTCAAAGCAAATTGGACAAAAGTGGTAATAAAATCAAACTTTTGGACCACTGGTGCTAATCAAAACCTTTTTGGACCAAAGTAACAATTTTCGACATACCATAGGGACCATTTATGCAGTTTTGTCAATGATGAATAAGTTTTTGTATACTTATGGTCAATGAAACTCAGGTTAAAATTGATAAATATGTTTTTGTATCAGTCTAAGAGCATCTCCAACCCACTCTTATTTTCCATTTTTTCTCCATTTCTTCCTCTATTCTTCTCCAACATTCTCTTATTTATTTCCCATTTTGGGGGATATAAACAGTATTACACCAAATATGGTGTTATACTATTCATTTCTCCCAAAATTGGGATAAGCTTTATGTTGTTGGTTTTAGTCCCTCTGTTTATATATTTATACATTACTAGTTCATTTTTACATACTATATATAATTTAAATATAATATTTAATATTTATAATATTTTTTTATATATTAAATTATATTAATTATTTATAAATATGAAGTTTGTTTTTCGTTCATCAAATTCATATAAAAATTTAAATACATATTAAAAATTTAAAATACAATGACATATTTTACAAAAACTTATAATTAAAAGTATGTATTTCTAATATTTATATAAATATATGTATAATATTTATTTAAAAGTATGTAAGTGTAATATTTTTTATAAATGCATGTATAATATTTATTTACAAGTTTATTATAAAT